ATTCTCCTGCCTCATCCTCCCAAGTATCAGAGATTACAGGTGCCCACCACCATGCCCAGCTAATTTTATTTTTAGTACAGACGGGGTTTCACCATGTTGGCCAGGCTGGTCTTGAACTCCCGACCACAGGTGATCCACTCACCTTGGCCTCCCAAAGTGCTGGGATTACAGTCGTGAGCCACTGTGCCTGACCATATTTAGTATTTTTTTCTATCAAGATTTCAATGTTTTCCAAAGTTCAGCTTCTCTACACAATTATACTAGAAATATCTCAGACACAAAATTACAAAAAATAAAGCTAAAAGAAGTATAAGTTCAATCTCCATGTATGCCTCCAAAACTGCTGTGTATAGACAAATGTGATGTTAAAGTACATTTAAGGAGATGAACTACAACTCCCAGCTAAATGTGTGTTGCCACTCAGTTCCCTGGAGACCCATTTTTACAACTCTGATCTGTTTATCTGGTTTTTTCAAAGCAGTAGAACAGTCAGAATTAGAAAAAAAAATTTTTTTTTCTAAGTTGGAAGCTTCCTGGAACAGAGTTAAGTCTTTCCATAGATTTGGCTTAGCCCAGAGCAAACTTATACCAGACAAATGAACATTAACAAAAATAGCATTTGATTTCACAGTAATAGTCTAGAACTTCAGCTACCCTAGGCCTGATTCACAGTAATTTGAGCCAGAAAGTACCCGGCACAAAGTTCAAGAGTATACCTCAAACTAGTAACTACTGAAGCCTAATATATAAATTCCATTCAAATAAAATGTGTTGAAAACCAAACTCAAAACCAATTTACACAAGTAAAACAAATTTCAAATTCACAAACCAAAAAAAAAAAAAAAAATGGTTCTAAGGAGGTAAGACATACCATTAACTTTACAGTAGGCAATAGCTATCATGGTATTCCACAAAAATATTATATCTTGTTTTGCTGTATTTACTCACCTAAGCTTTCCTGCAGCAGGCCCACAAGAGTCTGTTTTTAAATAGTTTCTGGCTGGTTATGGTGGCTCATGCCTATAATTCCAGCACTTTGGGAGGCCCAGGCAGGTGGATCACTTGAGGCCAGGAGCTCAAGACCAGCCTGGCCAACATGGCAAAACCTCATCTCTACTAAAACAGAAAAATTAGCTGGGCGTAGTAGCAAGGGCCTATAGTAGCCACACTGGAGGCTGAGGCACAAGAATTACTTAAAGCCAGGAGGCAGAGGTTGCGGTGAGCCAACACTGTGCCACTGCACTCCATCCTGGGTGACAGAGCGAGACTGTCTTAATTTCTTAATTTATAGATAGTTTCCCAATACTATCTATAATCCAAATTAGTTCAGTAAAGAAGTTTATAAGCTTTTTTAAAAATTGTACTTGTAGACTGGGTGCGGTGGCTCATGCCTGTAATCTCAAGCACTTTGGGAGGCCAAGGTGGGCCAATCACCTGAGGTCATGTCAGGAGTTCAAGATCAACCTGGCCAACATGGCGAAACCCTGTTACTACTAAAAAACAAAAAACAAAAATTAGCTGGACGTGGTGTTGCAAGCCTGTAATCCCAGCTAATCAGGAAGCTGAGGCAGGAGAATTACTTGAACCTGGGGAGCTGAGATCACACAACTACACTCCAGCCTGGGTGAAAGAGTGAGACCCCATTTCAAAAAACAAAAATTAAAAATACACTTGTGGCCAGGCGCGGTGGCTTACGCCTGTAATCCCAGCACTTTGGGAGGCCGAGGCAGGTGGATCACGAGGTCAAGAGATCGAGACCATCCTGGACAACATGGTGAAACCCGGTCTCCACTAAAAATACAAAAAATTAGCTGGGCGTGGTGGTGCGTGCCTGTAATCCCAGCTACTCAGGAGGCTGAGGCAGGAGAATTGCCTGTACCCAGAAGGCGGAGGTTGCGATGAGCCGAGATCGTGCCACTGCACTCCAGCCTGGGTAACAAGAGTGAAACTCCTTCTCAAAAAAAAAAAAAAAAAAAAATGCAATTGTAAATGTATCCAGAGGCCATTAAACAGAAACAGCATGTAATAAAAAAATGAATATATAATAAACATAGTATCTTTCCATAATTATTTCCCATAAACTTGAAAGGGGAAGTAGGAAGGACAAGCCCAGAGGATAGTTTTGCCACATTTGTTTAATATCAGACAGCCTAGAAACAAAAAGGAGAAAACAGGACATGAGAGGAGGCAAATTCCTGGATGCTTTACTTTTTTTACTACTGGTTTACAATTTCCTTGATTTTATTTGGAAAAGCATGCCTTGGCCCAGAGAAGCAAAAGTGCAGACTGCCAGCAGTATCAGATTCTCTTTTTCTTATTATCTGGAGCTACTGAAAACTGAGTCAAAATCAGAGTTGTCTAGGAGCCTTTAGACTGTTCAAGCAATATAAAATAAGAGGTTTCAAGATCAGAGCTCCACAAGGTTTTTACAGTACAAATCTTAAACATAATGTCTTTTGATGGAAAGCTGCTTACATTTTTTTCCCAGATAACTCCTTGGAGCTTTGAAAGTCTTCTATCTTCAGAAGAAAACGACTTAAGCAAATCCACAGAATTTCGATATTGTCTTTTTCCTAGTATTAATCCTTAATACTGAACTGTTCCAAAACATAAAATTAAAGTGCGATTTGACTAGACATGGAGTAGTCAACAAATAATTACCAAATATCTACTTTATGCAAGGCCCCAGTATGCAGGAAACACTATGGACACAGACTGTAAAATTTCCTCTGTGCACAAAGTATAATAATTGTTTTCTTTTTTTTTTTAGGAGACAGGGTCTCACTTTTTCGCCCAGGCTAGCTAGAGTACAGTGACACGACCATAGCTTTCTGTAACCACCAACTCCTGGGCTCAAGGAATGAATCCTCCTGCCTTAGCCTCCCAAACAGCTAGGACTACAGGTGTGCACCACCATGACTGGCTAAATAATTTTGTTTTGTAGAGACAGGATTCCTGTATTTGCCCAGGTTGGGTCTCAAATTCCTTCCTCAAGCAATGTTCTTGCCTCGGCCTCCTAAAGTGCCAGTAGTACAGGCATGAGCTACCATGCCTGGCCCATAATATTGTTTAGATAGATTTGCAATCACTGTTTGACCTCTGATATCAAATAATGCCTTCTAGCTTTTTCTATCCTACATATCTATGTATAGAAGACAATGTAGTTGGCTGAGTACCAGACTGTATATAAATCTCCATTTCAATGCAACTATTTGACAGACCTGGAGCAGTTACTATCTGCTGCTAAGGTCTCCACTACAGATGCAAGAAAAACATGTCCTTGCGTTTTTCTGTCTAATTGCGGCAGCTGAGAATGAACAGAGGAATACAGGGTAAAAACAGGAAGACAATACTTGAGACAGGTTGGTCACCAGGCTTGGAGTGCAGTGGCACAAGTGGCTCACTACATCTGCCTCCTGGGCTCAAGCCATCTTCCCACCTCAGCCTCACTAGTTGCTGGGACTACTGGCATACACCCTTATGTCCACCTAATTTTTGTAGAGAACTGGTCTCATTTCTTTGTCCAAACTGGTCTCAAAGATCTGCCCACTTCAGCCTCCTGGCATACACCCTTATGCCCACCTAATTTTTGTAGAGAACTGGTCTCGTTTCTTTGTCCAAACTGAGCTCAAGATCTGCCCACTTGGGCCTCCTAAAGTGCAAGCCCAGCCTGGGAGGAGAAATAGTCCCTACGACCCTTACCTCACTGATTACATTTGTTAAAGGCTAAAAGCAAGCCAGTGACTCTGGTCTGCTTGAACATGTCAATCTAGTGATTGAGCAATCTGGAGTTTGTCCTAGTGTCCAAAATCTGAGCACACACTAATTGTGTGAACATCCCCCAAACCCCTGTGATTTGAAATACATATTGGGAACTTCAAACTTTAAAAAAAAAAAAAAAAAAACCTCCATTTCAAGACTAGCTTGTCTCTTTAATCCCTGCTCACTACTATTACAGGAAATTTTCTCTGGAATAAAGTCTTTCAATCTTACAGAAACCAAAAGATCACAGGAAAAAAAAAAATAACATTAGAAGTACTAAGCTGTCTTTCTCAGAGCTTCCCCCCTCCCTCATTAACATTTCTCAAAGAGAAAAACACTGTGATGCTCCTCTCACAGATCATTCATGAAGTTACTAACTGAGCTGGGACCAGACAGACTTCATCAACTGGGCACAAAGCCACTCACCATTACCCTTTGTTTAAAGTCTCAACAGCCATTCAACCCACATTATTGTGTTCCACTCAAGCCCATTTTTAAGAGAAAACAATCAGGAAACTAAAACAAATGCCACTTAACTAGAAATGAAGAAAAGACTGAATCCATATGCCTCACAAACAAAAATTCTCTAAAACTGATGGCTCACTTTAAGATTCCTATCTGAAATAGCAGTATTATTTTTAACAAGCTTGTATTCCTTAAAAAAATTATAAACAAATAATCATAAAAAACTTGTTAAAAAACAAACTCATAATCTTGATCTGGCAAAGCATTCTAAACAGCAAATGCAAATACACACACTGAAGAAGGAACCAAGACCTTCAGCAGCCTTTTGCCTAGGGCTGGGGAGGGTACTGGGGGGAAAAAGAGTACTCTCCCCAAGAGCCATGATCCCCGACAGGACTATTCTAAATTTCAAATGAATTTTAGAAGTGCTGTGCAGAGCTCTGTACTAAGTTCAACTCAAAGTTCTTTTGGCTGTAAATAACAGAAAGCTTACACAAAAACTAGAATTAACTGAAAGGGTACCAGAGCATCTCAAGAACTCCAAACAGGCCTACACATGGAAAGTCTTAACGCATCCAGATTTCTATTCCGCATGTGGATGGCTGCCCTCTTCCCAGAGCTGCATTTCTCATGTACACTTCTTTCTAGATGAAATCTACTTACTTCTCCCTCCCTACAGAATGCCCTTCATTGCATCCACATGTACGAACGAGCCTGAACTTGGGTGCATACCAGCATCTGAGTTTTTTTAATTTTTATTTTTTATGATTCAGTCCCTGTAGAGACTGCCAAAAATGGCCAACGCCGACTATATTTCAGGTCATCATGGTGCGGTATTGAAAAAAGTTCTTAATAAGCAATAATCATATCAGATAAACCTCATTGGCTACAATACTGCCACTGCGTAAAGCTCAGCACCTGAGTTTATGTCCTGAGTTCTCCGAATGTAGGTGACTGTATCCTAAAGACTTGAATCTCAGTTGCAATCTCAAATTCCTAGGATAAACTGATCTGCCCAGCTTGGGCCAGGTGTCCACCTCTGGTGCAATAAGATATTACAAGAGGGGCTAGGTCACAGAGTATAATTAGAGTAGGGACTATGTGCCTGAAGCACTGCCCTAAAAGTATATGCAATACACTAAGCAGTATGGCAGTTTCCATCCTCAAAAAGCTTACAATCTTGCTGAAATAATAAAATATATCAATAAAATACTAAATCAGGTACAGGAATGAATGGACAGGAAAAGCCTCAAGAAAAAGGTTAGCTGTGCACCAAATGATAGAAAGTGAATCATGTGCAGGGAGGGGCTGAAGAACATTCCTAAGCACAAAATGTGATGTCTGCTCCTCTTGCTCTAGCCATCTAAGAAATACGGACCTAAGGAATAAATAATCTTTTACCACATAAACAGCTTCCAGTAAAATATCCTCGTTGAAAGCCTGCTATAAGGCTTAAAATGACTTTGAACACAAAGCAGTACTGCTTCATCATGCAGTAATCACCCACTAGCTGACAAATGTCAAATAGTTAGGCATTTTCAAGCTGTCACCACCACCCTGACTTCCTTTCACTCCCTAGCCCCCACAAGACTCTTGCTCAGAGAGCACTCAAAATCAGGCAAGCGGGCCAGGCGCGGTGGCTGCCACCTGTAATCCCAGCACTTTTAGAGGCTGAGGTGGGTGGATCACAAGGTCAGGAATTCAAGACCAGCCTGGCGAACATGGTGAGACCCCCCCATCCCTACTAAAAATACAAATATTAGTCGAGTGTGGTGGCAGGCGCCTGTAATCCCAGCTACTCGGGAGGCTGAGGCAGAGAACTGCTTGAACGTAGGAGGCAGAGGCTGCAATGAGCCAAGACTGCACCACTGCACTCCAGCCTGGGCAAGAGTGAGGCTCTGACTCAAAAAAAAAAAAGGAATCAGGCAAGCAGCCAATAAATGGCACAAGTGTTTCTCATTGAAAATATCCCACCAATCTAGCATGGTAAGTTAGCAGCAGCAGCATCACCCAGACAGACAGAATTCATCCAGGAAAGAAACACTAGCTGAGCTATGTATGTGACTGCAGCGTGAGGGAAGGGGACTGGAGCAGAAATGTATAATGTTTCCCATACACAAAAGCTGGAAGTACAAAGAAACTAGAAGAAGCCTACAGTAAATTATCTGTACAAAATAGAAATTAATAAAAACAGATGTCCAAATAATACTGGGTTAAAAAAGACAGTTTATTCACAGAAGACTATTAGTTACCCCACATTATCACCAACATCACACATATTCACATCCTGCAAGTTTACCTCAATCTCACAGGAAACAAAGAGGTAAAAGAACAGAGAGAAAGTGGTGACACTTATTTTACTTTGCTGAAGAGTAGCAATGTTACTATGAAAATGGAAACCACTTGGCTGGACACAGGTTCACGCTTGTAATCCCAGCACTTTGAGAGGCCAAGGCAGGTGGATCACCGGAGGTCAGGAGTTCTAGGAGTTCTAAACCAGCATGGCCAACACAGTGAAACCCCTTTCTACTAAAAGTACAAAAATTAGCCAGGCGTGGTGGTGACACCTGTAATCCCAGCTACTCAGGAGGCTGAGGCAGGAGAACTGCTTCAACCCAGGAGGCAAAGGCTGCAGCGAGGTGAGATGGTACCACTGAACTCCAGCTGGGTGACAAGAGCAAAATTCCGTGTCAAAATAAATAAATAAATAAAACCAGGCCAGTCATGGTGGCTCACGCCTGTGATCCTAGCACTTTGGGAGGCCGAGGTGGGCAGATCACCTAAGTCAGGAGTTTGAGACCAGCCTGGCTAACATGGTAAAATTGCGTTTCCTCCAGCCTGGCTAACATGGTAAAATTGCGTTTCTATCTATTAAAAATACAAAAAAAATTAGCCAGGCGGTATGACACGTGCCTATAATCCCAGCTACTCGGGAGGCTGAGGCAAGAGTATTGCTTAAACCCAGGAGGTAGAGGCTGCAGTGAGTTGAGATCACACCATTGCACTCCAGCTGGGACAACAAGAGCCAAACTCCATCTCAAAGAAAACTATAATAAATAAAGCCGTATCTGCATCTATGAACATATCTAAAAAAAAGGTGCACATCAAATTCAATTGAGATCCATCATGTATCAATGCAATCATTAAACCAGAACTCATCATTCTTGTTGATATTTGCTCCTGTTGATGATGTTGTTTTTTGTTTTTTTGTTTTTTTTTTTTGAGACAGAGTCTCGCTCTGTTGCCAGGCACCAGGCTGGAGTGCAGCAGCGCGATCTGGGCTCACTGCAACCTCCGCCTCCCAGGTTCAAGCAAGTATCCTGCCTCGGACTCCCAAGTAGCTGGGACTACAGGCACGTGCCACCACACCCAGCTAATCTTTGTATTTTTTAATAGAGATGGGTTTTACCATGTTGGCCAGGATGGTCTCGACCTCCTGACCTTGTGATCCACCCGCCTCGGCCTCCCAAAGTGCTGGGATTACAGGCATAAGCCATCATGCCCAGTTGATATTTTTTTTTTTTTTCTTTTTGAGATAGGGCTTCTCTGTTGCACCGGCTGCACTGGCGTGATCTTGGCTTACTACAACCTCCACTTCCTGGGTTCAAGCCATTCTTGTGCATCACCCACTTAGGGAGCTGGAACTACAGGCACGCATCACCATATCTAGCTAATTTTTTGTATTTTTAGTAGAGACAGGATTTCAGCATGTTGGCTAGGCTAGTCTCAAACTTCTGGCCTCATGTGATCCATGACTTGCACGACATGCACAGCCCTGTTGATAAAGCTGAGCACGGTGGCTCATGCCTGTAATCCCAACACTTTGGGAGGCCAAGGCAGGAGGATCACTTGAGGACAGGATTCAAGGCCAAGAGAGATCCCATCACTACAAAAGCTACAAAAATTAGCCCGTATGTAGTGGTGTGTACCTGTAGTCCCAGCTACTGGGAAAGCTGAGGCTGGAGGATCACTTGAGCCAAGGAATTCCAGGCTGTAATTGCACCACTACACGCAAGTCTGGGCAACAAAGAGAGATCCTGTCTCTATTGGAAAAGAAGGCCAGGCATGGTGGCTCATGCCTGTAATCCCAGCACTTAGGGAGGCTGAGGCGGGAGGACTGCTGGAGGCCAGGGCGTCAAGACCAGCCTGGGCAACAGAGTGGGACCCCATCTCTATAAAAAAAAAATAAAATTAGCCAAGTGTGGTGTTGTGCACCCATAGTCCCAGCTACTTGGGAAGGTGAGGTAGAGAAGGATCACTTGAGCCTGGGAGACTGAGGCTGCAGTGAGCCACGATCATACCACTGCCCTCCAGCCTGAGTGACAAAATGAGACCTTGTCTCAGAAAACAACAACCAAAAAAAGCCCAAAACTTTACAAATCCAGAACTTGATGAAGTGTAAAATAAACAAATATATACTTGGGGCCTCCACAGCACAGCAGAGGTTAAAAAATAACTAGAATTCCATAAGGAAACCTCCATTTTAAAAAGATTCTAAGCCAATTCTATGACAAGGCCAAAGTTGCTTTACAAAGGTCTCATCAAGGAAACCGTCTTCAAGGCAGGCATGGTGATGGTATGCTTCTGTAATTAATCCCAACTATTCAGGAAGCTGACGCAGGAGGATTGCTTGAGTCCAGGAGTTTGCACCAGTCTGGACTACAGAGCAGACCCATGGACCGCCATCCCAACCCCATCTCTTTTAAAAAAAAAAAAAAAGAAGAAGAAAAAAAAAAAAGAATGAAAACTGTTTTCAGCAAATAAGGACTCTTGATACAATATAGTTTACAAAGCAAATAGCTAAAACTGATTAAGTCTTAAATCTGTATTACAACTCTAAATATCAGAGCCCTCCTCTCTACTCAACTCTAGTCACTTTAAACTATAGAGAGACCAAAGTGTCCCCTATTACAAATCCAATATATTCATTTGTAATTTTCAGTTTTCTTTGAACACAGAAGCCTTCTTTACATAAAGTAGGGACAGTGAACATAAATCTAGGAAACCGTATTACCCAAGTATTCCACAAGGAACGATGCCCTGTTTAGCAAAGCATTTCAGACACATACATCTTCTCCCTTAAGCCATAACAAACACAAGAAAATGCAAAACAAAATGCACTTATAGGGCCAGGCGCGGTGGCTCAAGCCTGTAATCCCAGCACTTTGGGAGGCTGAGGCAGGTGGATCACGAGGTCAAGAGATCGAGACCATCCTGGTCAACATGGTGAAACCCCGTCTCTACTAAGAATACAAAAAATTAGCTGGGCATGGTGGTACGTGCCTGTAATCCCAGCTACTCAGGAGGCTGAGTCAGGAGAATTGCCTGAACCCAGGAGGCGGAGGTTGCGGTGAGCCCAGATCGCACCATTGCATTCCAGCCTGGGTAACAAGAGCGAAACTCTGTCTCAAAAAAAAAAAAAAAAAAGCACTTATAAGAGGACACAGCTGGGCGCGGTGGCCCACGCCTATAATCCCAGCACTCTGGGAGGCCGAGGCGGGTGGATCATGAGGTCAAGAGATGGAGACCATCCTGGTCAACAAGGTAAAACCCCGTCTCTACTAAAAATACAAAAATCAGCTGGACATAGTGGTGCACGCCTGTAGTCCCAGCTACTCGGGAGGCTGAGGCAGAATTGCTTGAACCCAGGAGGCGGAGGTTGCGGTGAGCGAGATCGTGCCATTGCACTCCAGTCTGGGTAACAACAGCAAAACTCCGTCTCAAAAAAAAAAAAAAAAAAGAGAAAACAAAAGGAACACCGACATAGCAGCTGCTGCTCATCTATGTATAACATATTTTACCTGTGTTATTTATTTCACTTGGCTGAAATGCATTACTGATCCAAGAGACAAGTGATATGCCAATTTTTATAAATGGAAAAAGAAATAGCATTATCAATACTGTATCAGGCA